AATAGACCTTCGATCCACTTCTCTCTCTCTCTCTCTCGCTCTCTCTCTCGCCCAGTGCGTCAAAAGATTTATAAGGTTCTCTTGTCGAATTCTCATTTAAACTGTCAAACTCGAGGAAAGATTCCACTGGCTTTAGACGCTTCATTCGGCCTGGCGTGTAGAGGCGGTTGATTTACAAGCATAAAGTCGACATTTTTTGCATCGTATTTTGGGGACGTACGAGGGGGGCAAAGGGCGCGTTGCCCCCAAAATCGGCCGAAGGCCGAAAAGTTCATAAGGGGGGGACCCTTATGATTTTTCCAATAAAAATTTTTCTGCCTGCGGCGCTGTTCATTACTGTTTTTAAAACCGATGTTTACTTCTATGAAGCCTATTTTTCCAAAATTTTTTGTCTGCGGCGCTGTTTTTCATTAGTGCGTCAACTGTCCATATAAAATTTTCGCCTGCGGCGCCTTTTTTGTGATGTTTTTACATGAAATTGAGCGTTTCTAACGCTTTTTCCTAATTTTTTGTGGCCTGCGGCGCTGTTATAGCTGCGATTTTTGAATGTTTTGAAAGTGGTGACCGGGGGGGAGGTCGACAAAAATTTTTCGAGTTGCCCCCACCCCCCAAAAATCGGGTTCGTGTACGCCCCTGTTTGGGGATGTGCTCATGCAGATTTCGACACTCTGAAAAATCGGCAGCCTAAATCTTAGCATGATGAAATTTCGACATTATGAACATTGAAAATGTACATAAACATTATGAAGATTCTGAATTTTGATGGGATAGAATAGCTATCGTATTTTGCCGCTTGAACCCAGCCATGGTACGCTAAATTACGCCCCACGATGGGTTATGTATGCAAAATCGTTGCTCATTATTGGGTGGGTAAGCACTGGATATAGGCTGAGGTCATAATTAGTGGGTGTAGGTTAGGACGAAAGGGGGCAGCTGCCCCCTTGCCCCCTGAATATCCCGGATTCGCGGGTCCGGGCCGCTACCATGGTGACGACGATGTTTATGGGTTTCTGGTTGGTGGTTTCTCCGGCATAAGCGGTTTCTAAATTATAATCGGCAACTGAATCTCCTAATAACTGGCTTTATTAATTTTGTTGCCATTTTGACTACCATAATCCAGATTTTCAAGCGTTTTTACCGTTTTTCAATTTTTCAACGGAATTTTAATGCCTTTTCCACTATTTGCTGGAGGGTTTACGGCTTTTCTTTATGTGTTTTTCAAAATTGACGTTTTTACTATTGTTTACGCCATTTTTATACTTGTGTTTTTTTATTTCTGAAAATATTTTTGTTATTTCTCATTTGTTTGCTTTCAGAATCTCACGGTCAAAATGAGCTCCACAGTCGTCGTAACCAGAAAATTTGAACCGAGCGAGCAGCCGTCGACCAGCATGGAGAAGCGCAGTGCATCTCCGGAAATTCGCGAAAAACCGGGAGCAGCACCAGATGAATCTGCAGAGCCAGGGATCGCCTGCAACTGGGCATTGATAGGTAATAGGCTTGAGAAACCCAACCCGAGAAACCGGCGGATCGGGCTGGAACGCGAATTTTGATTGGGCGCGTAGCTGTCGATACCTAATGAAACGTGGGGGTCCATTCTCGGCTTCGTAGTCCTTTTAAAGGGACAGGAGAGGCAAGTCCATAGGTTTTCTGGCTCACGGCTTGCTTTCTATTGCGTAATGGATTACGGCCGGTTAATAGCCGTGATCTGGCTTGCGCGTCGCATGTCGCCGGCGCCAGTAAAGCCCCCAGAAAATCTATAACTTTGTCATGTCCGTCCCTTGATCGGATTTTTGTAAAACCGTTGCGGTTTTAGACGCTAAAAGCTGACCTAATTACCGTATACCGTATACCGTAGCTACCATCACCACATCCGATTTTCAGACGAAATCAGCATCCCGCTTCTCGAGAGTGGCGTCTGCACTTTCCCGATTCTGCAGGTATTTTTTGTGCCAATTTTTCTTCCGGATTTCGTGATAGGAAGGTGGGGATCTTTGGAATCATTTTCCGAGAAACGAACTGATTACGCAGCGTACGCAAATTACGCAAATCACGCTGATTGCGTAAGAAAGGGCATTCTGAGCAAGATTGACGCGAATTCCCTTTATCATCCGGCTTCTTTTTCCAATTGCTGCTGAAACGAGGAAATGGAATTAGGGCTGCCTTGTTGAGAAAGTGCAAGCCGGGGCAGGACACAGCAATTTCCGGGGAAGTACGGAATTTTTGCGGGGGTTCTTTGGTATTTAAGATCCCTCACAAAGAATGGAAAATGAGACGGTAAAGATGTGAAAATGCTTAAATTTGAAAGCCGTTTTTAAATTATTCATTGATCCAGAATCTAAGGTACTGGACTTTTAGCGGGGGGGGGGGGTTGGACGTAAAGAAACAAATTTCCCCCATTAATTCCATACCTTCAACGAAAAAATAGACCATTCTTTGGAGTTTTAGATGTTTTAGATATCAAAAGTCTATGAAAAAATCGGAAATAATTGACTTTTACGTAAAAATGAAGAAAAATCACCAAAAAAGCATAATTTTGAAATTCAGAAATTTTATAGATGCTGTCTAAAATTTGCCAGCAATCAAAAACTTGTTAAAACCGTATAAAACTTAATTATGCATTATTAACAGACGAGAAGATAATAAACTGAAAAATTTTAGGCCGTGCTCCCATCAATCCTCCTCATGGACTCCAAAGAAGAGAAAGTCGTGGAAAACCTGCCAAAACTCTTCCGAATCGCCCAGATGGAAATTGAGCATTTGCTGGTAAGCCGAAGACCTTGAAGCCTATCTCCAAAAATTTACAGGAACTCATTTTTCAATAGAAAAAACTAGAATACCTAAAATTTTGAATTCACAAATCTCAATAAAAAAGCGCAAGACAACAAGCTATCAGGTTGGACCGAAAGTAATTACAATTTTTCGAACGCGAAAAAATTATGGAAGCAGCCATCCTATCTTTTCCATATTTTAGCATGATTGAGGGTCAGGTATGAACTTCCTGCACACCCGATTTCAACCTCCATCTTTTGCTACTTTTGAAGTTATGAGGCAAGGACGGTGCGCGTTGTAATTTTCGCTCATTTTAGGTTTCGTAAAAATTTTGTCCGTCAATGTGGCCACGGCTACGTGAATAATTAATCCCGGTTAGAGCAGTAGTAGTACTATACAATGCATCGAACAAAATTTAAATAGGTCGCCTCATACTTCTTTCCTGAACGATTTAGAAAGATGTCCAATTGGGGTTTCTGGCCTCAAAATGACAAAACCCTTCGTCGCGCGTTTTCTCCGAGTTTGGTGGCTAATTTTTTTAAGGTCTTTTATCGATATGTAGCTTGGTTATCACTGTTTCAAGCGCGTACATTTCCTAGGGACAAATCTTTTATGCCGGGCCGCAGAAGAGATCAAACCCTGATTTTCCAACACAATTTTGTTTTGGTTTTCTCAAACTAAACTAATGGGTTTGGGACAATGATAATTGGAGTACCTTATCTACCGTTGCTCTGTCAATGCCCCGTTTTGTCGAAAAAATTCGATCAACAAGGATTAAAGAATGACAACCAAGATTGAATGACGAGGCCTGATCCCGTGTCGGTTATTCGTCGTCACATTTGGTAGCAAAATTTTTACCCGTGAAAGCAGGGCTGCTTGATAAATGTTGTTGTCACAGTGTTCGCAACTAAATGTTTTTCAAAATAGGTGGAGCGCTTCTACATTGGCGGTCGTCAGTGAATTGATAAGCCCCTTTCATCAGATTCATCCCGAATCGGGATTTTGTTCCATATTAAAGGCAATAACTACGGGATCCACAGCTGTTCGGCTGATTTGGCACCATAGCTAGAAAGATATGATACTGGCGCTCTAAACCGTCAATTATGCAGGGAGGATTCTGACTTTAGAAATTTTCATAAGGCTGGAAGGGCAGAGGGCTTGCGGATGCCGCCGCGTCGAGCCCACCAGTGTCTCAAGGAAAACAGGTCATAGAAAAATAAATATAGGTTGGATCGATCCAATATTTTAAGGAGCTATAGTAGCATCTTAGACTCAACCATGGGTGTAAAAATCCTGACGGCCGGGTGGTAAATGTTTTTACAAAACCGGCTTGAAGATCGATTGTAAAGACTTTCGGTCCAGCCTGATAATAAAGCTAGGAAAAAAGGTCAAAAAGTTTAGGTTGAAAAATCTGAAGTTTCGAAAAAGACGCTCTCGCGGGTACATTAAGCATTACTCCACCAAATATCGTTTAGAAGTCCCAAAACGAGATGCTTCGCCAGTTGGCAGCCTTCCAAAGCGAGGCAGCTGCGAAAAAGCTGCTGCGCGGACTTCAAAATGACAAGACGGCACCGATCTATGAGGTAAGAACCAAAAAACATAATATGTATTTTTACCTATTTAAAATTCCGGGTCTGTAGTCTCCTTACTAATTGATATGTTTAAATCGAGCCATAATTACTCATGACATTGTTTTTCAGTGTGCCACCTGCAAGAAGACGTTCGTGTCGAGCTCATTTTTAGAGAGCCATCTGAAGCGGCGGCATCAGAACAAGCCATGGCCATAATTTTTTATAAGGCTATTTGGTGTCATGTCTAGCGTATTAATTCTGGTAGACCTAATTGAATTTGGTGTTGCTATATTTCCTCAGTGCCCTGTGATCTCGAAAAGTCTCTTGCACGCATTTTTCATAGATAAGTTAATAATATAAAATGCTGTCCGAAATTAGTGTATAACGGCCTTGGAAACCATGCTGAAAACTTCATATAATCAAGTTTCCAAGAACTACAAATAAGTCAAGTAAATTAAGTCGTAAAACTCAAACAGGACAATCGCTTGCTCCACCCCAGAAAACAACAAGATTATCTCGCCCTGACCGGCATATCATCCTTTATTCTTCCAAGAAAATGGGACAAGGGGAATCACAGGAAAATTACAGTACTGAAAAAAGACAGTATAAATCACAGCGGAAAGCCTGGAAATTGAAACGATAGATATAGAGAGTTCAATTTTCTCTCGAGGGCATCACTTTCATGCGTTTGAAGGCTTCTTTCTCTAGCGATTCCCGGTCGTCGGGATGGGCGATGTTGATCAGCTCATAGGCGCGTTGCCTAGAAAGTTTTTGGATCGTTACTAGACATGTTAACATCTATAATTTAATATTCTGAAATTCTAAAGCGTCGATCAGATATTCGGGCTTCAGGTTTTTTTAAAGGGCCTTGGACGCGAGAATCGATCCCTTCCATCGACTGGGTATCGACAGCTACTTGGCACGCCAAAATATGCTCATGATCAGTTGAATTTTGAGGCCGAAGTTACAATCGAGAACGCATTTTTGAGAGAAGTTTCTCCAAAAATAGATGGCTTACCTCACCGACTTTCCAAAAAGGCTAGCAATGCCGTACTCGGTGACGAGGTGGTGCGTGTGAGCTCGGGTGCACACCACGCCGGCTCCCTAAAAACAAAAGTTTTAAGGGGACGCAGAAGAGATGACTATGGATAGTATTGGCTGTGGACAGGCCCGTAGGAGGGGCCCAGGGGCCCTGGGCCCGAAATCGGTCGAGGTCCGAAAAATTCATAAGGGGGGACCCTTATGATTTTTAGTTCCAAAAATTTTCCTGCCTGCGGCGCTGTTTATTACTGTTTTTCAAACAGTTTTTACTTATATGAAGCCTATTTTTTCAAAATTTTTTGCCTGCCGCGCTGGATTTTCATTGGTGAATCAATTGTTCATAAAAATTTTCGCCTGCGGCGCGTTTTCTGACGTATTTTCACACGAATTTGAGTGTAGCGAACGCTTTTTTGCGATTTTTTTGCCTGCGGCGCGATTATTGACGCGATTTTCGGATGTTTTAAAAGTGGCGACCGGGGGGAGGTCGCCAAAATTTTTGGGCCCCCCCCCCCGAAATTTTGGTTCCGCTACGGGCTTGGCTGTGGATCCCAAAACTCCAGAGGTATTCCTTTCTAGTCCTTTTAAACCTCTGCTACCCACCTGCGCAATTGTGGGTACAATTTTCGGTCTTCCCTTCTCAGTCCGAGAGGTCATCGCCAGGATGGACTTTCCCCGTCCGTCGTACCCTTTGCAGGCGTTGGTGATGAAGTCGACTTGGCCTCCAAAGCCTGAAAACGGCCAAATTAAGGACTTAATTTCTGAAAACGTTAAAGTCATTAAAATAGCATTAAGCTGGGATTTAGAAGATTTCCTTGGTGGCCAACCTGAATAAAATCGCTCGCCGATCGAATCCGACACGACCTGGCCGGTGAGGTCCACCTAAACGAAATTTGGTTCGCAAGTAATTTTTATTTTGGCTAGCGATTAATAAATTTAATAATGTTAAAAACCATACCTCAATACACGCATTAATGGCCGTCATTTTGGAATTTCGGCGGATGATGTCCTGGTGGTTCGTCCATCCGCAAGAGGCGAAATCTAAAAGTAATCAGTTTGCGATACCGGGAGGATTACGACATGTAATTCAGCTTCCGAAACTCAAAAAACATCACAGAAAAAAGTCACAGAAATTTGTTGGAAACTTACGGAAAAGCGGGTTATTGTTGACGTGCTGGAAGAAGCGCATCGAACCGTAGGCGAATGAGGCGACGTTCTGAAAATTAGTTAACTTAGAGAGACTATAATTCAACAACGTGAGGTACTAAGTAAGTATCTATAACTTGTAAATTAGCTTAAATTACAATTTTTCTGACCTTTCCGGGCATAAACGCTTTGGCCTGGTTGTTGATGACGTTCGACTCGAGCAGATCCAGAATCCCGTCGCACATCATTTCGGTGTGGATGCCGAGGTCCTAAAAAATGATGAAGCTGAACCAAAAACCTTCAGGCGATTAACTAGCGCTTAAACTACCGTAATCTTACCTTGTGATTCTTCATCGACGCCAACGTTGAATCCGGAATCCCGCCAATACCTAGAAAAATTTAATGAAATATATTTGCTCAAGCTGGAAACCGAGCATTACTAGAGTTATGCTAAAAGCTAGATGTTTTTGGCCAAGGTCCAAGATTCCGGAGCGGAACACTGATGAAACATAGTATACCAGCCGATTACAGCCGCTTCGCGACTGTAATCGACTGGCCTTCGGGCTACACTTCATATTCGACACCACCACATCCCTTGCTACTTTCATCAATACATATACTGATGGTTTCAGAAAACCCTCATAGCCGAAATCCCTTTCAAACACTACTTCGATACCTTCCTGAGGGCTTCAGATACCCCCCATAGCCGAAAACCCCTTCAAAAGCTACCAAAATACCTTCCTGATGGCTTTAGATACCTCCCCTAGGCGAAATCCCCTTCAAAAACTACCTAAATACTTTCCTGATGGCTTCAGATACCCCCCATGGCTGAAATCCCCTTCAAAAACTACCTAAATATCTTCCCGATGGCTTTAGATGATTTAAATAATTAATTAACATAATTAAAAAGTATTAAAAAGTATTAAAGTAACTTAAGAAAGCGATCTGGGCGCGCAAGGGGCCTGGGGAAGAGGGGCGAGGGGAAAGGGGGCGTGGCCTCCCGGGAGAGGGCCCCCCACTCGTTTTATTAATGCCCCACTTTCAAAGTTAATTTTAATAATTTAAACAAAAACTTTTTCATAATTTTTTTATTAGTTTGGGGGTTTCTGCCCACGCTCTATCCGAATCCGAAGAGACCTAAGCTCTAGCTCCTTTCCCCTTCGAGTTGAATTCGGCTTCAGACACACAGACAGACGGACGTCTCTACTTTTTTATTATAGTTGATCTTGATTTGCCCGTCCCTTTAATCCTCAGAGAATCCCCAAATCTTACCCAGCTGTAGCGTAGCCCCATTCTCAACAAGGTTTTCGGCGATCAGCTTGCCGATTTTCTGCTCGGCCTCGCCGATTTGTTCGGGCACGGCTTTGTGGTAAATCTGAAAAAATATAGAGTTCAGCTTCGGAGTGACATTTTTAAAGGTGTAGTCGCTCATGAGAACGCTTTGAGTCTGAAAAAAGTAGCAATGAGCACTAAGAATTAGCTGACACACTACCTTTAACCAATAGAAATCTCGAATTTTCAGTTTTTCTTTGTTGAATCAAGGTACTGTAAAATACCGTAACCCACCAGTCGATCCGTTTTGACCATGGCCGAGAAGTGGGAGCTGTGCACGGTGCCGTCGCCGAAGGTGCGAGGCATTGATGGGTTGACGAGGGCTGGAAGAATCGTAAATTGAAACTCCAGTCGTGGGTTCGCAGTCCCTTTAACATCGCGGCTTGTCTACTGTACTTACCAATAATGTGTTTGGCACTGTTGATAGCAGCGCTCGTACAGTCCACATCAACTCCCAAGCTACAGTAGCCGTGCTCGTCTGGCGGAGATACCTAAAAATTATGTATTCGATAGCCAGAAAGAGAGAGAGAGAGAGAGAGAGAGAGAGAGAGGGAGCGAAAGAGCGAGAGAGAGCGAGAGAGCGAGAGAGACTGAGAAGCGACAGAGCGAGAGAGGGACGCAAGCAAGGGACAGAGAGGGGGAGACGAGACAGTACGAGCGGCATTCATAATTGTAAACTACTAACCGATACAAGCGCATAATCCACAGGCACAATCTTGTCATAGTACAGCGCCGGAATGTCGACGAGAAAAACTGGAGTATAATCGGCCGCCCCGTCGATGACGGCTTGCCGCATCGACCCGCAGATGAACAGGCAGTTGGACCTGATTTTGCCTAAAAAAATACGATAGTGTGATGTGGCGCAGCTTACCGTACAGCTCCTTCTTGCCCCATCTGACGTTGCCGGAGAGGATGATGTGCGAGAAGTTGTATCTGGAAAAGAGGGATTAGATAGAGCGCGAGAGAGAGAGAGTGTTTCAGAGAGGGAGAGAGAGTGAGAGAGAGGGAGGGAGGGGAGAGAGGGAGCGGGACGCATTACGTGTTTTTCCGTTACGCCATTAAATTCCGGCTGTTTATCGCAAAAAATTTTCCGGAGATTTTCTACTTGCTTTGCCTTCACCGTCCTTTTAAACCCGAAAACCCCCTGAAATTTTATTTTTCACAACACTCCCCTGTACACGAGCGGGTCAGACGATCGAAACCTGCGTGGGGTTATCTAGCCCTAAATCTTGTACCTTGCCACAAGACAGGCCGGAATCAGCCGATCTCAAAGAGGTCCCCGTTCCTGCTTTTTTTGTAGGATGGGTCACCCGATTTACGAATTAGCGGAGGGTCTTATCACGCCTGTAATGATAAGGGCATGGCCGGAAGCTACGAGTCGTTGTTTGGATGGAGCCGTAGGGTTCGAGAGATCAGGAAAACGGCGTTAGGACGACAGAGTTAATTTGGGAAATCTTTCGAAGGTCTTCCAAGGTATCTCAAAAGGTTTAAAATCATTGAAAAGCTAAAACTAGCGTTGTTAGTAGCTAATTTTTCCTATACGTCTAGGTCAGTCTTGTAATCAAAAACGACGATAATCTTTTTATGCTCAATAACATTTAATTAGATTCGAAACAGAAAAACCTGCAATAAGGCACGATATTTAAAAAATTTGACATTTTGTTCATTTCGGGTCCAAAATTTATTTGTTGCTGTGGTGTTTGTAGTTCGTTCTATTTTTGCCGCCCAAAAGTAAATTTTTCCTGACAAAGTGTAAAGTTTCTACTTAGGAATGCTGAAAAACAATGCAGAAACGCATCCTCTTATACTGTAAAAAGCTGAAAATGGGCCGAAAAAACGTTAATTTCGAAGCCCCAAAAATGGTCTCTGCTAGCTTGCTTTTTGTTTCTAATTTTAGGCCTTGGACAAATTAATTAGAAGCAAGTTTCTAACGATTAAAAACTTACTTATATCCATCGCTCAGCGCCCGGTCACATAGCGCATCGCAAAGTTCGGTGGGTGTCGCGGCGTGGCCGTGGATGTAGATGTGAGCGCCTAAAAAAATAGTAAACATTCAAAAGAAATAAGTGAAAAAATTTTTCTCCCATAAAAATAATCTTTAGAGGCTCACCCGACGGTATTGAAGACACTGCCTCCTCAGCACTCACAAATCTCGGCGCTGGCCGACCGGCAATCGGAAATGCCCGGGTGTTCTTGGCGAACGGCACTCCGTGGCTGTTTCGCTGCTCTTTTAACACTAAACAGAGACGTTCTGAACAGAATTAAAATCTGCAGCTTTTTGATTCGAAACTCTCCAGGCAGAAATTAGCATAATTCCGCTCATAAAATTTAGAAAAGAAACTTGCGGCTTCCAGAAAAAACTCACACGGCAAAAATGCCCTCCGCAGATGCCGGGTGAACATTACTGGGGGTTTCAGAATAAATAGGTGGGAAAAGTAGAGAATATGCGAATTGCGCTAGCCTTCTGTCGCGCCCAAATTCGAGCTGCAAATTGTGTTTTTTTCGCAGCCTCGAAGTGGTCCCGGACAATCATCACAAAAAAATTATCAAGAATAAAAATGAGGCGGATGTAATAAAACAGTCGGCTGCCAAAGATTTTACTTTTTTGAAAAATTAAATATTTTTTTAGAGATACCAAAATGTGAATTAAATCGAAACCCTATGGGGTCAGCGTTGTCAGGGTATCTTGGCTAGGTACAACGAAATTTGGACTTGGATTTTGGATTTTTTGGACTGTTTCGTAATCAGCTCACTATTTCGAAATCAAATAAATAAATATAAAAACGGAAGCTTGCTAGAGCAAAGGTTGAATGAGGGCAGTACAGGGTGGCCCGAAAGAGTGGTGACCGAAACTTTTTCGATTTTCTGAAAAACTATAGATCGAGGAAAGCTCATTTTAGCACATTATATTCCTTAAACAATTATCTTCCACATGGCATAACCATTTTTTTATTTGTTTGCCTCAAACTCGGAAAAACTGGCGCGGAAGCGGATGGAAAACGGAGGTGCTGGCACGCAGACACTCAGCCCGAATTTGGCTCATAACTCGATGAAGACTTTCGCGAGCGAACCCAAAATTCAATCGAGAGTAGCCAACACTTTGGCCTTGCAGACCGGCTACACAAAAAAATTCTGCGGGTTCGGGTTGGGGCTGCAGGATCGCTCTTTTGGCGAGCAAAAAACGGTTTGGTCAAAACCCTTAATAACGGGCCTCAGTCACTTGACCAAGTTGGAGGGTACTGAGCCATAGCTGCACCACGAGCTTCACCGGAAACGTCAGGCACGCTCGTTAAAGAGATGGAAAAGGCATCGTTAAGTATTTTCTTCCACAGGAATTTATTTTAGATTTTGTCGATTTCAAAAAATCCATGACTTTGAATTATGGAATTAAATTCCTAATGTAAAAGCTAGACTGCGTTGTGCGCTGAGCGTATGCTCAAATTTAGCCAACATCTATAGGAAACAGAATCCATAACACCGCCTTGCCCAAACCCATAAGGGAACAGAGAAATTCTGTGTGCAAGCTGCGGTCACCACTCTTTCGGGCCACCCTGTAGATGGATAGAAAGGGGGTATGGGTCGAGCAGAAGGGGGGAGGGATCGGGCCGGCTGATTGCCTGCGGAGATATGGAACGGGCAGAGAGGGTTGAAGAGGAATAAAAAGGACTCCTAGATAGTTATCCGGATAATACTTGAAAACTAAAATTTATTCCGGTTGTTCAGATCAGGCTAAATTGCTTTTGAGAATGCTTTTGAAAGGGCGTGCAAAATTTTTTGAGAAAGGGGAATCACGACACAAAGTTGATGTTCGTAAAAAAAACTGAAAAAATGTGAAATTCATATCTAATCATAAAATAGCGCGACCGTAAAGAGCAACACAGTCAGCAAGAATAAGCGAAAACGCGTGTTCCATGGAATTTTGAGCTTTTCTTAATAAGTCTGAACAGCCCTGGATCTGAAAATCGAAATATTCGAGAAACCAATATTCGCATTTTTCTTATTTTTAGAAAATTTTAGAAGCCATTTTGTTAATATTTACAGGTCTAATGCTTGGTATTGTCCAAAATACACCGAAATTTCCTGGCCGAACCCGCGAAAATTGAGCCAATCGGCCCGCCGGGCGACGTTTTGCTCGGAATCCATAGCCGCCCATCGGATCACCGGGGGCACTCAATCACCACAAACAACGAAGAACACCCAGAGAACGCACTTTGACACCCATAGATATGATAGACACCGGATCATAGGGGTGCAAAGTTAATTTGGCCTTGTTATTCGGACCTATGCGTACTTTTTGGATTTTCAGGCGATCGGGCAAGGACATTCAGGAATTTTAACAAATTGCGATGATGATAATCGGATTTCTGTGGTAATTTGGAAGCGTTGTTGGCCTGGAAACAGATTGAACCTCGGGGCTACCTGGCTGTTTCAAGTCGTAAAGCTTTTTTCAATTAGCTTACCCTTTCGAAACCGAAATCTAGCAAAAAGCTTTCCTTTCTGTTGCAGTTTGCTTTTCTTTGTTATTTTTTTGCTGATAGGATAGGATATAGTAAACATCGGAAAACTTTATTCAAAAAGACAAGATAAAAGCATTGAGCCGCCCCCGATCCACTTTTTACTTCTTGATACATTGCGAGCGCCCATTCCAGGTGCCAGAGCTCATATCACGCACCTCGGTCGTTGCCTAAATAATCATGATTATAAGGTAAACCTAATTTTAGATTGCTCGATACGACTAACTATAAAAAACAAGGTTATGCAAATTACATTATTGTTCCAGAGCTGAATGTTTCCCAGCTTGTAGTCGCCGCCCTTTTGATAGGAGTCCGGGAGCAGGAAGGTGATCACGGATTTGCAGTTTTGCTAAATAGATAGACTTTTTATCTTTTTTGCTCTCTCTCTCGCTCTCTAACTCACCGGGTCCTTATTGCAGATATGGCCAATCTGCACCCAGAGTTGGTATTTTCCTTTCGGGAACTTCTTGACGGTATTCTGAAAAAAACATAATCTCTCTCTCTCTCTCTCTCTCTCTCTCTCTCTCTCTTCGCGATAAAGGCTCACCTCAACGGCCCATCCCTCAATTTTGAATCCACCATTCGTGTTGGTCAAGACATCGGCAAACTGCTGATCTTCCTGATTTTTTCCCGGGGCCACGCTGCTCCAAACCCACGCTTCAACACCGGCCACGGCAGAATTGTTGCATCGAACTTGGCCCTAAAATAGCATTTAAAGTGCCTTATTGTATTTTACTGATCTCAAATGTCTCTGCTAGCTGCCAGGGCGAGATATTGAGAGAGAAGGCTAGAGTGAGAGAGAGAGCAATAGACAGACAGAGAAAGAGTGGGAGGGAGGGAGAGAGAGAGGGAGGGGAGAGAGAGTGAGAGAGAGCGACCGAGGGAGAGAGAGAGTGAGGGAGAGAGGGAGAGGGAGAAGGAGGAAGAGGAGAAGGTTAAAACTTACGGTAATAGCCCCGAAGCCTCCCAACACCACAACCGGAAGAGCCAAGGAGACGAGAATCTTGGAAATCATCTTCTCACAATGACATCCAAAGGTCAAGCCCGGCCTTTTATAGAATATTTTCTATTTGATGTTGACGATAGGCCACCGGGACCGTTCCCATGTTTTTTTTAATGTGCATGTCATCTCGAATCGAATTTGTTTTTTCAGGGAAAGAGAGAGAGAGAGAGAGAGAGAGAGAGAGAGAGAGAGAGAGAGAGAGCAAGAGAGAGCCGCGCATATGCGTGAGTCATTCGGTCAATGCTTTTAGAAATTGGTCTGTGAGCCAGAAGGTGTTTTCAGAATCAAAAGCTCGGAATTTTCAGAATCGTCATCTGGTGATGAGTAGGCGATTTTAACGGGATTCGGAAGTCTAAATTGTTGGGCGAAAAATGCATCGATAGATGCGACTACACATCGCGCCTATTGACGTCGATATTCAAAACTAGCTGGCGATGTTTTTTTCATCCTTTGTAGTCTGTAGGCGGGTTTGAAGTTCGAATTTAACGGATTTGACCTATTGTAGAGATAAATTTTTGAATTCCCAAAGCGTCTCTGCTAGCTTGCCGGTTGCGTGTGAATATCCGATTTTCCAAAAAAAAACATTTTATTGAGCACACAGAGTTTCGAGGGCAGATTTTCGGGACGAGGTGAAGATGACGAATCAAATTCGGATAAGGCCATTGACACAGAGAGAGAGGGACCCATAGATTTTTCAAAGTAATTTCTGTTGAAAGCATAAAAATATGCAAAGTAGGATGTGGATCTAAAAATGATGCATTAAATTCGAATCTGAAAATGGTGAATAAAATGATAAGATACTGGGAACGAATACAAAGTATAATAACAACGGGCGATGAATGACTAGCGATGTGTGGATGTAAAAAGTTGATCTTATTCGTTTTATTGATCCGAATTGAAGAGGAGCTGCGTGGAGAGACGATCGAATTCGACAATGTTGAAAAGGCGCATTACCTAAAAATTCAAAATATACTAATTTTGGATAAAGAGAGAGTGAGAGAGAGAGAGAGAGCGAGAGAGCGAGAGAGAGAGAGGGCCGGAGAGAACAAATAAACTGTAATTAAAGTCTTTTTGATTAAACCACAGTACTTGCAAGCTCTCCAGCATGGCCGAGGCGGCCGTCTTGATACCGGCGATCAGCAGCACGAGATTCCCGAAGCGTTCTAGACAAAAAGATGCTTGAACGCTGATCAGTAAAAAAATTACCTTCATAACCATCCCAATGCAGGTTCTTGTAGTAGCGGAATAGGGCCTGGATCACGTGGTTTTTGTAAGCGAGGCACATCTTGCGGGACTCCTCGCTAATCTCGTCGTCATCTAGGAAGAAATAATTTTCGAAAAAAGGAAAGAAAGAGAGCGAGAGAGAGAGAGAGAGAGAGAGAGAGAGCGACTAATTAAAAATTCCCACCTCCATGCGGCATTACGCAATGCAAAAATAGGATGATCTTCAGCGTCACGAGCTCTTCCGGCCATACTTCGAGGGTGGCGAGGGGGATAGCGACCTGGAAAACGCGAGCGTTTTAAAGGGATAGTGCCACAAATTAAGTCATTACGACAGCAAAATATCGTGGCCGTAGGCGGATGTCACCGCCAATAAAACTAAACTTTTAAAAACCGTAAAAAAACTTCACCACGCAATCGTTCCTAATAAGACTTGCGAGCTAATTAATGACTAATCCACGAACCAGCCACACCACTAGATAGATCGTCAACCCCCATTCGTCAAAGAGCCACCCCAGCCCATCTCATTGACCCGATAAAACGGATGGGATTTCCGGGGGGTGGTGGGTTTTTCCTTGATTTTCCGTATCAACACCCCCTGCAATATGGCCCTGAAAAGTTGTCTGTTATTTTTGCTATTCATCGGCATTTCTAGCGGCTTTTCAAGTAGCAGGTAGGTCAGAAAAATTAGGAAAAACCGGAGAGATTTTGAAAAATCGACGAGGCTCAAAAAAATAAATTCTTCTCAAATTAGCGCGCTAGTAGCCGGGTGACCCCCTTTAAAAACCATTCATTTCAATTTTGCTGTGGAGAATTCACGATTTTCTGTCGAAAGTGCCATATATGTATGACAATCCATTGAACCAAAAAAAATCAGGAAAATTCGGTAAAAAACGTATTTCGAGAAAAAAAGAAGTATTTTCATCACTTTCGTAAATTGTGAGGCTAGATGTCCGCTCCCTTTAACAATAAATAAATCGAATTTGCTTTGCCAGGTGGATTTTCAGCTATCTTTCGAATTTTCAAAAACGACACAAGCTGTGGCGCTTTATTTAATACGGTCAATCCAAGTTTTTGCCAAAAAAGTATGCACCCCGAAAATGTCGGTGCTAATTAAAATGATTAAAAATAGACTTTAGATTTAAACGAGGCTACGGCTACGGTAGCCGATCTCAAGTCGCTCCCGTAAATTATGACAACAACTACAACCCCAACTATTTCCAACAACAACAAAATTTGGGCGGATACGGCTGGGGCGGCAATGGCTACGGAAACTTCAACCAGAATCAATTCGGTTCTGCCGGATATTACGGGCTACAAAACCAAAACTACAATCCGCAACCGGCCTATGGACAGCAGAGGACCGGTGGATACGGTGGCGGCTATAGCCAGCAACAACAACCGTCCAATTACGGACAGCACCGGCAACAAGGTTACGGTAGCAGTTACGGAAACGGTCAAGGTAAGGACACATTCAAATTCAATTAGAAAATTAAATTCAGCTGGCTACGGAGCGAATCGGAATGCATATTCCGGAAACGGCTACAGCAACCAGGGACAATATCCCGGCCTTCAAAATGGTGCCGGATTTAGCCGAAATCAATTTGGAGGAGCTGTAATGCCCCCGCAAAACCCTGGACTACAGCCTCCAAATCCGAATTTCGGGTTTTCACCGGATGTCAGCTCGAATCAAGGAGTTGTAGCGCAGGTCAGTTTTTCGGAAGGTACCGGAATTTTTTTGATTTAAAACATTCAAGAAACGCTTAGAATTTTAAGGCTATTTTCAAGATTCCCAAGCCCACAGGCTTAAAAAAGCTTTCGAAAAATCATTACATCGTAAACGTTGGAAAAATTGACACCTCAGATTCCAAGCTTCCCGAACCCGGGTTCCGTTCCTACAGTACCAGCGGTGAGAAGCGAGCTCGTTACAAGACCAAAATTTAGGTACCACTAGCACCTAGCCCACCAATCGCACCATCAGTTCCTGAAATGCCATCGGTAAAAGACGCTAAATTCCGATAAATCCAAGAATTTTAAAAATTCCAAAATAGATGAAAAATTTCTCTAGTCATCGTATTTCTCATTATAGGTTGCCCAAATAACCGAGACCTCAAAATTTCAGATACCACCAGCCCCAAGCCCGCCAATTCCGCCGGTAGTCCCGGATATTGTACCACAAGTAAGTTTTATTATAGCTTTAAAGGGGCTAGGAAAACAGCCGCATGTCAAAAGCCTGTATTCAAGGTTGACAAACGCTCAATTGATTAATTTTTCTGATCCTTTAGCCCCCTACGTCCGTCGGAACTTCCGCATTTGCACCTATTGCCCCGGCCCCGTCTACCGTAAGAAACATTCCACCTTCAAAAATAACCATCCAAAATTAGCCCGACATCGCGCCACCACCTCCAGGACCGTCCGGTTTTGCTCCGGTCGCCCCAGAGGTAGTGCAAAATTTTTTTTGACGTTTTTTTTCTAATTTTTTTCTCTTTTTCTACTAGAAACCTTCAGTTTTAAGGTACCCTCCACCGACCTAGGACGATCGGAACCGATGCCCGTGGCCCCGCCAGTCGTAAATCTCCTTCCAAAAATATAAAAAATTGTTTAGCCCCTTCCAAATCTCCCGGGCTTTGCTGCCGATTTGAACCCAACGTTTACGACTACGCAAAAAGCGATAGAACCCACGGAAACTATGCAAGTTACGACGCAAACATCGACGACGGAACCTGCGACATCGAGTGTTGTAGCGCCAGAGGAAACTACAGAATCGACGGGGCCTAGCACCGAAAATACTGGTACGTACTTGATCGTGAAAAACTTGAAGTAAGTATTGGAAAATCGTGATAGGACAGGCTAGCATGGATTCTTTAGGAAAGAAGAAAACTTTGAGGAGCAAGGGATAAACGACTTTTAACCCTTTAAACCCGGCGGAGGGCAGGCTGCATGGATTAATAAAATAATCACCGTTTCTCGAATTATAGGGGGTATTAATTCCGGGCCTAAGCCTTTTAACCTTCTAAAAGCTATTTTAATGGCTTTTTTCAGCTTTTGTATGATTTTGACTCAGGTTTTTTTTTATTTAATACTACATACGCCCTAAAATCGTGAAATACCATCTGAGCGACTTACTAGCTAGTAACCGAAAAACAAAACTCCTAACTAATTGGGGGCGGATGGAAAACAGTTTAATTCCGCTAAACCACGAATTTGAACCTTTTTAGGCCTAATCATCAGCCCCACCGAAATCCCGACCGTCACTACCACCCCAATTATCGTAGGGGACAGCACAACTGCCATTATTCAAGGAGGAGCCCCGGAAGAAGCGTCAACAGAACTCTCGTGGACCGATACTCAGGACAGTCCAAGCACTATGAAACCGCAATAATAGTATCTAATAACGTAGTAAAATTATAACTATATGTAAACTTAATAAAACTGGATCAGGATACGAATAAAAACTGCCCCAATTATTACCTCATCAATGCACGTGGCCGTCATCTCTTTGTACAGCTTCTCCTGGCGCCATTTCCGGTCCTCGGGGATTTGTTCCTAAATTTGATTAGAATTTTGAGATTGTCACAAATTTGATAAAATTGTTTAAAATAATGGAAATTGACTGTTTTGCAATTTTACAAAAATTTATACATAAAATAAATTAAAGAGGTCTGTGAATGCTTCAGCCTTTTAAAAAATACTTCTGGTAATATAACTAAAATTAAACTCAATAAACATATGGTGGCTAACTTTCAAAAATAATTAAAAGTACAAAACTCTACGATTTTTCAACCCTACGAAAACGCAAACATCAAAATTGTCGATTGTTTTGCATTTTTAATGAATTACCTGGTTACTCAACGCGCCCATATTCCGCGGCATACAACTGCCATTCGGGTACAGCCACGCGTCTTTCACGCCCGATTTTGCCGTGAAGTAGCCGTGCTCGAGGATCTGATACGGCATGGCGAAGCGCTAAAATCAAAGGATTTTCTTGATTTTCCAACTTTTAACTACATACTTTGCATAACACTTCCTTCTCTGCATCTTTCAGCTTGCTAAACACCGGAATCGATTTCACCCAGTCGAGCATTGACTAAAATAACGATTAAAACTATAAAAATTAGATTCTTACATGAACCTCGAATCCGGTGATGATACGCACGTCTACAGCCAGGATGATGCGACGCCCAACAGCTTCCTGGAAGACAAATATAGCTTTTTCAACGCGTAATTAGTTAGGTAACGGAAGAATAGTGATATCAAACTTACATTCATCTCGATATAGTCCATGTCGCCTTCGCGGTGGGCGAGCTTCCGAGCTTCATCCCAAGAACGGATCCAATCTGCCTAAAAACCGGAAATTACAGGAAATAAAAGCCTGAAATTTAAGCATCCAATTTCTAGCTCTATTCCTACAAAATGTAACGTTTTTATCTGCCTAAAAGCTTTTATAAATAACGTTAAAGCGGAAATAGACTTTTCGCTTTTTGATTCGATCCTTTATCCACGTTAAAAACTCAGGTATTAGCAATGAATAGTTAACTTAAAGACCGGAAATCATACAAATAGTTATTTTACAGTAATTGTACGAGTTTTACGCTTTGTGATGTTGAAGCTAACGAGCGTTAAACTACTATTTCAGTCTGCTCCTCGTTTTTCGAATTTCTCCAACCTTCTGCTGTCTACATTGCGTATCAATCGTCGTCAAACGTTGCATCAGCTCGAGCAGCGTATCACTTTCGAATTGCATGTCCTCGAGGGGTGTTGGCGTGCTGCTTCCTGGTGACGGGCCATCTTCTTCAAGCGCAGCTTCGCCGCTAACACTTGGTTTTGTCTGAAAATTTCAATGTTTTACAGCACTTCCCCTCGTGTTTTCTTATTTTTATGCTCAACAAATCAACAAAAACAAATCGGCGTGTTCCTTCAACGACGAACGTCTTCAGTTTTTTATGATAAATACAAACCTCTCCCATTTCTCTGGTGAACACGACACGCTTCATCGGTTTTCTGGTATAAACGCGCAGGCTGGTGTGGTCACGGCGAGGTTGGAGAGCTAAAAAAGCTACTTTTTGAGACTCGAAAATTTTCCTACCTTCCAGCTTCATCCCAGCAGCAAAACAACGCATCAGCCGGCATCCACGACAAATTCGCTTGACCTTGGTCTCGGTGTTGCACTGGCCCTCGCGCTGGCATTCCTGGTTGGTGCGCTGGACGATGGCCCTGAAAGAAGATATTTTTAATAGATAAAATAGGTTTAATAATGACTGAAATCTAGTTAATAAGATGTATAAAAGCAGTTAATAAAGACTAGAAACAAACCTGCGAAAAAACGTCTTGCAGCCGAGACACGCGATGACGCCGTAGTGTTTTCCATAGGACGGCTCGCAGCAGATCAAGCACGGGCCCATGTACGCTAAAAAGTGAATTAGTAGACGTCACCTGGCTCAATTGTGTATTTGTACTGTATTTTACGATCCCCAAAGCTCGAAAAGGTACAAATTACGACGCGAAAACACCAAAACAATAGGTTTTTCGACGAAACATTTGTTGCCATTTCGATTTTTGCCCAAAACTTGAAAATTTTCACGCGTTTTTAGCTTTCAGCGTTTCCAAATCGTTTTTTCGCTTTCTTCGTTTTTCAGATTTTTTCAGGCTCTACAGACACAAAATTCTGTTCCCCCATTTCTAAGACAAAAGATTATTGTCTTTTTTCTAACCTTAGAAGCATGTTTTTCTCGTTAACTTTTCCAAAAAACGAACGTTTCCCATGCTTGCTCGCCGGGCCGGCCGCCGATTCGAACGGGTCGGTCTGGTAGATGGCCGTCATCTAAACTTCATAGGTTAGGGGCGCCGAAAAATGAGTGTTCTTTGGAGCGGGGAACGCACAACGAGCGAGGAAAACGGTGAAAACAAGGAAAGGGCCAGTGTAAATACAGCGCGCCGGGATTTGACATATAAAGGGTGGAGACAGGGAAGTTTTCCCGTTTCGTTTCCTGGAAAACGCGATATTTCATAAACTTCAATTCAATTTATGGCTTTTCTTGGAATGTTTAGGTTTTATTACCCGTAAACTATCGAAAGCTGCCATTAAAAAGTTAAACTTTTCATTAAAAAGCCTAGGAACCTTTATAAAACAATTTTCCAATAAAAAATGTCAACTTTAGAAAATTTCTGGTTTTTTCTTGGGAAATCTTAGGTTTTCTTACTCGTAGGCTGTTAGAAAGCGCTATTCAAAAGCTATGCTTTTCTTATATATTTATAGACGTTTATTTTTTCTTTTGAAACCATAAACTTTAGGGAATATAGACTTTCGTGGGAAATAGGTTTTTCTAATAGTAAACTTTGAAAAGATACCATCAAAAATTATAACTTTCACTAAAAAGCTTAGGAATCTCTCTAAACCCTATGTTCGATCTATGCTTTTCAAAATTCCCGATGTTTACTTGAAAATCTTACTAATTCTCTATATAACCCGGCTTATCAGTACCCCAGGCAACTTATTCACAGAACGTTTAGGGATTTGGTACTCGTGAATCATCAAAATAGACTATTGTATAGCTTACCTACTTACATACCGCTTAGATACCACCTCACATTAACAAACCTAGAGTTCGCCGAAAGTATTTTATTTCACTTTGTTTTTTTTTTTTAAATTAGCGCTATTCACATAAAAATTGGTCCCATTCTCGAGCTACCAACGTTTTACCCTTTAAAAACCCGGCTAAAAACTCAACCGGAAGCCACCGGCTTTTGTAGCTGATCACCGGCGTTGGGCCCACATTTTCCAAGCTTCTCCCCCAGGTAAAAATATGCAAAAGCGCGCGAAAAACGGGAATCGACTTCAAGCAGGTGGGCTGAGCGGAGAACGCGCAGAGTGCACCCAGACTACAAACTAAAAGGGCGGAAGAGGCGGGAGGGTGGGGTCAGCTGCCCGGGGAAAAAGCCATTCTTTTGCGATTATTCATCTTGATTTTCGGAGCAACAAGTTCAGCGATAACGATAGCGTTTAATAAGATCACATGTCGCTTTTTGCAAAAGTAATACTAGAAAGTTGCACTCAAAATTGGCAATAACATCGTAAAAATTACACCAGAAAGTCCCTTAGTGCTTTTTAAACGGTCTGGTATCGTTCTTAGGCGATAAAGTAGGTTTACATTTAAAAAAAAAGGCATTTATAAATAAAGAAAAAGCGTCGATACCTATGAAAAATCGTTAGTTTTTCGAAAAACTCGCAAAAATTTAATGATGGCCTATTTGTTAGTTTTATACACTACTGTTTATGGGTAATTCTGGTAGGCGAATTTCGATGGCATTAAAAGGAAATAAATTTGAGTTTTAATACTGAATTAAAATTACCATTAAAGCTCATGGAAGGTAAGGTAAAAAGTATTATAAAAAAGCTATTTTTCGTTTTTTTAAAATACGGGAATAGTGTTAATAATGTTTTTTTATGTCCTTTTTTGTTTTTGTACCTTAAAAATAAATACATTTATTCAAATAACTTTTTTACACATTCGGTCCCTGGGCGATCAGCGCTTGGCGGGCCAGGTATTTTTCGCGTTGTTGCTGGATGACGATTTTGGCCGGGACGTCGGGGATTAAATAGGCTATTATTACTTTAAGGAGGTAGACGAGCTGCTGAAAATATAAAAAAAATAATGACTTTATAGACTAGAGATTTGCTTAAATAAATTGTATAGTCCGGACCTCAAAAACGACCACGAAAAGTAGTCGAAAGGCCAGGATATGCCACCAATCTTCATTGTGCTCGAGTTTGTCGTTGTAGTAGCCACGATAGCTTAAAGATATGGTTCTGGTGCCTTAGCGGGGGGCCCCGTAGGTCTTTTTGCCCTCTCCCCCGCTAATGAATTAGTTCCAAAAATACGTCGTAAGGACGGAGACGTTAAAGTTTGTAGCTGACCTGCAAGTTGTGACATTCTTCCCCTGGAAAAACTTTCGGTCCTCCTCGGCCGGCATATTTTTGATGGTATAATTGGAGAGCGAGAAGTCAACATAGCTAAAAACGAATAGAATAAAGGTTTAATGAACTTAATGAATTTAATAATAATTAATTCCGCCGATTAATTAATTTCTATACATATTCGATTTGATAAAAAAAATATTAAAAACCGGTACCCTTTCAGCGTTTTGTCGTGCGTAAAATAATAGTAGGCTCGTGGGATGAATTCAGACGTAAAGGCGATAACGAGGGCCTGAAAATTGGTGTCACCATCCATTCAAAAGAACCGAATGGTCGCTAAAATAAAATTAAAACCCACATTAATAGTCACGCTCAGCTTGGAGATTTTGTCCAATATTGGTAGCCAAATCCCAATATTTTTAGCGAGCGCCGGAAGCGGACGTTGGACTTGGGCGACAAACTACAACGTTTCAAATTAGCAACAACATAAGCGAATTTTTTAATCTAAAACAAAAGCATTTAATTACTACAAAATCTACCTTATAAGCGTCCAGTCGAATTTCCAGTATGTTATTGAGGAGCGCAAAAAGTGGCGCCAGGGGAAAAGCGGCGACGAAGAGCGTGACGAACCCGAATTGGAGCACTAAAATTCTAATTTTACGATGATTTTTACTGCTAAATGAATACCAATTATATAAATAACAATGTAAATTAGTGAAAAGGTTTTAAATAGGTTTACCCATTTCCAAATATTCCTCAAACAAAAATTGATCGGTTACCGGCTTTAGGTAGTAATCGGATTCCCACCTAAAATCAGGAGCTTAAGATTGTATTTCTTTTCTTTTGGCTAAAATACGTTTAATACGCTTAATAAAAATACAAAAAACTGACTAAAACTTTTTAATTTGTCCAATTTTTATTGAACTTTGAAATTTACCGTAATTCCGATTTTTCCTCGCTCAAAACATCGCCATCCGTTTTCTTCCCCTTCCTCGCCAGCCGACGTTTTCGAATTTCCTTGGCGACTTTGCTAAAAATATTCGAATTTCGATCGATAAATTTTAAATGTTACGATTAAAAATTTCCACGACCCCGTAATTCGTTTAATTAAAATATAGCAAACGTTTTGGTACGATATTTTTATCCTTACGGTCCCAGCGTTTCCATGATCGCCGAGATGAACTGCTTGCCACACATGATAATTGCTAGCTGGATCACCAGCTCCATGAAGCAGCCGGTCGAATTACAGGTCTAAACACTACATAAAAAGCCATGAAAAATCTTGCTTCTAGCATAAAGCTCAATCCGCTTTTCGCGTCAGGTCGAGGCTCAAATCTACAAAAAATAGCTGAAAGAATTCTTTAAAATGCTTGAAAAATGCAATGTAGAATAGCGACGAGTAGTAGTTGACGAATTGGAAGAGGAAGACCTAAAAAAAAAGCTCAGGGCTGGTACCCAGATCAAAATTACACGTGTCAAAACAGCCAAAAATTTACACGCGTGGTAAAAAAATTACACGTCAAATTTACACGTCACTTTTGGGATTTACACGCGTGTAATTGAGTTTTATAAGGGTTTTCAAGGAAACTTGGCCGAAAATTTACACGCGTGTAAAATTTTTACACGCGTGCAAAAATTCGCAGCCATAGTGGGCCAGGGATGGGCCATGAAGGGTTAATTCCAATCTTTTTTTTCGAGTAGTTTTACGCCAGGGAAGGAACCTAAAGCTATCGGTAACGGGTTTCATAGCTTTTTAGCAAAGTGCAGTAAAAGTGGGGAAGGGTGTTTTGAGCTGCGTGAAGGCATTTCTAAGGTGAACTGAGTGGGCAAATGACATAAAACTTTCTAAATTCTCGCAATTTCACCATTTTCGGGTTTCCGTATGGTATAAAAAGCAAACTGAGCCGATCCAATTAGTTTCGACCAAATATGTGGGCGCTGTTTTTGACGAATTGTCAAAATACGAATGTTACCTACAACGGAAAAACCTTTAAATTTTTAGGTAAGAAAATTACATTCGGAAAAATGGCGAAAGCGCGAGAATTTAGAACGTTTTATGTCATTTGACCACTCAGTTTACCTTAGAAATGCTCTTCACGCAGCTCAAAACACCCTTCCCACTTCAACACACGTAACTGAAATCCGAAATAATATATATTGTTTAATTTCGTTATTTATAATTTGTTTCTTGTTGTTGTTGATTGTTCTCGTTGCCGCTTCGGTCATAAATTTTACATTTGATACGCGCAAAAGATCTAACAACGCGATTTGGCGAGAAATTTTTGACTTGAAATTTTACACGCGTGTAAATTTTTAGGTAAGAAAATTACATTTGGAAAACGTGTGTAAATCGCTCAAAAAAGGGCCTTCACAAAATGGCATATAAAAAAATTTCCAGGGCACTTAGCGATCCAACTTTTTTTGGCCGACTGTTGGTACCCGTCTGCAGCTTGTCTCGTTTTACCTTTTCCAAAAAAATATTTTTCCGATTTGCTGGAGGCTTCCAAAGTTGGCGTGTAAATTTTTGGCGCTCGCGTGTAATTTTTTCGGGTTTTTCCCCGTCTCCGAGCACGTCACTTTTTTTTACCACGCGTGTAAATCAAATTTACACGTGTGTAAAAAATTGTAGAATTTTACACGCGTGTTTTTTCATTTGTTAACAAATTTGTTAAGGAAACTTTCGGAATTTACACGCGTGTAAAAAAAAATACACGCGTGTAATTTTTTTACACGCGTGTGTAAAAAATTTACACGTGTGGTAAAATTTCAGGCGTGTAATTTTGATCTGGGTACCAGCCCAGAAAAAAGATTTTGGATCAGTGCATGCTGTAGAACGAGTTTAAATCTACCGCATAAAGAATTATACGAGTGAAGAAGTTTAAAGGTTCTTGGAAGTCCAGAATCGATAGGCTAGTCCCTTAAAAACCACCTTAAAAGTGTATTGATTATCGAAATCGTGTTGTGTTCGTGGGCATTCCCAGACCGTAAGACGGTGGGCGAGCTTGTTGTAGAGCTAAAACATGAAATTTGCGTATAATTTCCGTCTCTCTCTCGCTCTCTCCCTCTCTCTCTCTCTCTCTCTCTCTCCCTCTATCCTTCCCTCTTCCTCCACCCACGGAGCTCATCAAGACGATGACGACCATGTTGATGGTGGCGGCCGTGACGGAGACGAGCACAAAACCGTATTGACTGTCGCCGGCCGACATTAATAGCCCTCTGACAAGCACGCGGTAGACAATCATTCCAAAGACAAAGGCGACGACGAGGAAGATCTATAAAATTAGTATACCACTCTCTCCATCACTCTCTCTCTCTCTCTCTCGCTCTCTCTCCTTCTCTCTCCTTCCAATTTCCTTTAAAACTTACAAAAAACAATACAGTAGCCCCACTGGCCAATATATTGACAGTCTTTTTCTTCACCGACAGGTACGGCTCCTCTTTTTGGGTTATAGGATTGTACCGTCGGGTCTTGATACGATAGAGGAAATCAGGGCGGATTGTTTTCTAAAATACTGGAAGTGTTAAACGGAAAATTATATGGCGCGATGTAAAAAAAACGTAGAAATCGGCCTTGAAAACCAGGGAATATGCAGGACTACGAAATACAACACTGGAGCTGCGAAACCCACCTCTTCACACACGAAATCCATCAAACCCCATCGGTGGGCAACCGCTGAGTGGTAGCGTTTCCATCCTTCCAGGAATAACGTAGCCCATAGAGACATACATACGGAGAAGATTACGGTAGACCAGTTGTCGAATAGGTATGAGAGCTAAAAATAGTTAAGGAGACGGAGAGCGAGCGAGAGCAAGAGTGGGAGAGAGGGCGGAGGAGAAAGAGAAAGAGAGAGAGAGAGAGAGAGAGAGAGAGAGGGAGAGAGGGAGAGAGAGAGAGAATCGCCTTACTTTTGCGTAATCACAGCCACTTTTCAAAGACTTTTGGTCGCATAGGTACGCTTTTTTGTTGTTAATTTTCCCTTCGCAGATTTCGGAACTAAAAATACATAAATGTTCAAGTTAATAAAAAAGAGCCTCGTAAACACTTAAAAACGTCAAAAATTATTTAAAAACAATATCGATTATCTAGTTTTCAAAAATTAAAGGTGTAATTTTAGCGCTGAGTTCTCTAGCGTGTAATATCTCACCTCACCGGATCCCCCGTCATCGTCACCAGCCCAAAAAATATAGCCAGAATCCCGACGATCGAAGCTGGGAGAAGGGCTTTTGTGTAAAAGCCGAGCCAGGCAAAGTAAAGGGCCACTTTTGAGCCGAAGTAACGCCTAAACCAATATTAAGAGAGTCGGAAACGGTTCTGACTTGACGAGGTCGAGGGGCTGGTATTTGTAAAAGTTCCACACATTGGCCCAATGGTCGCGAAGTAGCTCTCTTTGGGTTGGTTCATTAATTTGGTCGTCCTTGGGGCGAAGTTCCTGAAGCTATGTATTTAAACGAATTTTTTTGGAAGAGAGAGGGCGCGAAAGAGAGAGAGAGAGAGAGAGAGAGAGAGAGAGAGAGAGAGGAGAAAGAGTGAGAGCAATACGGGGAAAATAAACTATGCGCGAATTCTTACCTGATGAATCGGAAATGCGGCGCTGAACGTGCCGTTTGCTAAAAGGCGCTCGATTCCGACGCGAAAATCCGTTCCTCCTGTCTTTTGGTCGCTCTGTGCTGCGTCATACCTGTCACATACAAAATTTGACCATAGTTTGCTCTCTCTCTCTCTCTCTCTCGGGGTGCCACTCACTCGCTCCTTCCTACCTTGCCCTCATCAACAAATCGTACACCATTCGACACCTTTCGGCGTTCGGAAAGAGCTGCTCTGGGTGCTTTCCGAGCAGAAATCTAAGGATTATACATACTAGCGTTTTTAGGCCACACGATTTACTGTTTTCTCCGTTTTGCCGAATATGGGGCTCGAAAATACGGTGGATCCTCTAATTCCGCTTTTGTCTCGGCGTTGAAGTCGAAAAATCGGAAGATTTTGAGGAATCGTTGGAGGAATTGAGGGAGGATGGAGTCCTAAATGTAAGAATTCGGGAGAGAAAGAGAGAGAGCGAGAGAGAGAGAGAGAGAGAGAGAGAGAGAGAGAGAGAGAGAGAGAGCTTACCTTCTCCTCCACATCACTGATCCGGACTGGTAACTTGACGAGCATCAGTTTGGCCTGCTTTTCGAGTAGGTCGAAGGGAGCATGGATCAAGATGAAGGTTGAGCTGCCTTGCTAAAATATTTATATGGCGATATTGCTCTCTCTCTTTCTCTCTCTCTCTCACACCTGTGCAATATGTGTCTCCATCTGTAGCCCCATCGCTTTCAAATTTTTCAGGAAGCATTCGCGTTTTATTCCGCGATTTTTCTGAGGCCCACTCGGGTGAGAAATTTTTGGGTCCGATTTAGTTGCTTTCGTTTCCGCCATATCATCAGCCTCATAAACCAGGACGTAATCGACCTAGAAAATAGATTTCGCTATCTCCATCTCTCTCTCTCTCTCTCTCTCTCTCTCTCTCTCTCTCGCTCTCTGAGTAAAACTACCCACTTTCTTATGTCCATCGCTGAAGCACACGAATTTCTCGAACATAAATTTTTATGCAAAAAGAAAATGGTAAGCAGAAATACAGAAAATGTGGAAGTGTATTAATTTTGGTGGTCGGTGAGCGCGGAGCGGAGCAATCGTCGGCATTCTGAATCATTTCTCTCCACACTTCCAGTCATCACATTCATCAAATCATCGCTGTTGGGGAGGAGAAGGCGGCAAGGAAAGGCTTGTCGAAACGTTATAGCATGACTCCAGTCGAGGGAACCGTTTTCAGCAAAAAACTGCAACTCAAATTTTCTAGAGCTTAGGCGAAACGGCTTGCTAAACAAATTTTATATGACTCTAAACTTATCCCATCAAAAGAAGACCAAAGTGAAAAACTGTTAACTTTTAAACGTAAATCACAGTGCCTGCTAATTAAGTCAAAAATTGCTGCATCGCGAAATGAAGTCCTGGGACGTCAAGCTTTTATATTTCCGGAAAGCTACGGCCTGTCCGGAAGTTCAGGTTGCTCTTGCGTACTTACTTCCAAGGTATGGCTATCGATTTTGTCGGCTTTGCCTCGCCCCCGCTATGCTTATGGAGAGCTTTCACAACGCGCACAAAGCTGACGCTACGCTCTTTGCGTGGCGTAAGGGATTACCAGACTCTCCACAAGCACTTCCATGCGTTTGGCCCAGATGGCTTGTTTTTATAGCTTCGAAGTCTAAATTTTTATCCTTCTGTCACTTCCAAATTGCCATAAAACCGCGTTGCTCCCCGATTTTCCATTTCTCCCCGGAGAACCATCCGATCCCCCGGCCCCTTCCATTCTTTGTTGATATTTTTCCGGTATAGGGAAACATGGCCGATTGGGGGGCCAGTAGAGGCGAGGCTGCTGCTTGTTTACATTCCGTGCCGAACCGATCGACGGTGAGGGCCATTAATTTGCGCCCCCAACAGGGCATGGGCCTCTCGGTTACGGTGTCGCGAAACAGCTGCCACAGGGCAATTGAGAGGAGCAGGACCATGGACCTTTGAAGGCACCAAACACACCACCAAACACCCAAAGTAGCCGCTATTTTCGGAACAACAGGGGCGAGAGAGGGAGCGAGAGAGAGAGAGAAAGAGAGAGAGAGTGAGAAAGAGCGAGAGAGAAGAAGAAGAAGAAGAAGAAGAAGAAGAAGAAGAAGAAGAAGAAGAAGAAGAAGAAGAAGAAGAAGAAAAAGCAGAAGAAAACCAGGAGCGTACAAGCACTTCAGCGCGCCAAAAATCCTGAATTTGGCAGCTTCGAAACAAGATATGTATTTTGAAAATTATTTTTGTTTATTTACGGTAACTTACGCGAGTTTATGCTAAAAAAACAACGACTGTCAACTTTACCACCAAATATTTCTCTCCAAGAATCTTTCTCGGCTTGGCGACACCGTACCTTAAAATAATACGGCCGTGCTCCTAGCGCGTGCACTCGATTGACTGATTAATTTAATTGATTAATTCAGAGCTACCGGAACTTTAAAGGGGTTGCCAAGTCCAAAAATCGACGTGTCAGGCCGTCTAGGTATCGACAGACAAGCGAAGAACCGCGCAGGCCTCTCAAAAAGCAAAACGAGCACTAAAAAAATTGGGTATTTGGGCCCTAGCGCAAAAATCTTCGGTGTTTTTGTCGCCACTAGGGTTGTCGAAGCACAGTAGACGGATGATTCAGTCTAGTCGTCGCCATTGATCCGAAGCTAGCCTACCTTTCTCGCCGAATCCGCAAAGCCGTCTGCTGGCCTGTCACGTCCTGCCGCTAAAAGCCAAGGACCTCGGCTAGCCTGCCCAACAAGAGACTTATCAATGAACTCTTCTAGATTTAGCTGTGTCTTCGATACTTTAAAAAATATTTTTTAACCCGATGAATCCATTTAGGACCCTAAAAACTGGGCCGAAAACATGTCACACAACCTTAGCGCCTGTCGGATGCCAGAATCAGAAGATCCCGTCTTGAGGTCATTTTTTCGGCCGAACGACGATGACGGATAGCTTACTCCAAAAATGACTCATCCCTGCTCCAGTGTTCTCAGTGTCACCTCCGCATCCGGCCGCCCGAATTGAGTGGCAGCTTCGTTTAGTGTATCCCTGTGTTTATACCAGAAACGCGTTTGTGCTATTTTCAGCCCACGGAAAACGTGCTCCACCCGGGGCGTCAGTTGGCCCCAACCAGCAGAGTCCGACGATCACATGGGGGTGGAGTGATAATGTGTGTTGGATGTTTCAGAAAGAGAAACGCTCTCTCTCACTCCATCTATCTCTCTATCTCTCACTCGCTCTCTCTAGCCCTTTTTGGCTAGGTTGCTGGATTTATAGCCCCCGGGGGCACTTGGCGCCTGTTGCAGCGTGGCCGTTGGAACACCAGAATATACACTTTGGCATGTGAATGGCCTTGATGCCGAGAGTTTACTCATTACACCGCCTTGAGATCCTGTTTTCCTTAATTTTTCTCATGAAATATACTTTGAGTTTTTTATTCATCTTTTATACCTTAATTTCAGAATTCTGCACAATGAATGCCTTGAGTCTCGCTCTCGCTGCCTGCCTGGCTATGGCCACTTATGCTGAAATGCAGAATGTTACTGTTAAGGCACGTTACTTACGAGAGTATAGCTGAGTAGTACGGTACACCGATATTACGGTATTACGGAAATTTTTGATCCGGGTATTAGGGTACGAGTTTTGTATTACTAGATACCATGATACTTTTTAAGAGCTCGTAATTAGTAGTACTTACAGTAACGCGATAGTACGGTATTCCGATATTACAGTCGTAAAATTTAAAAAATGCGGTTCTACATGCTACTGGCAATGTTACAACACTTTAAAAATGTTTTTTTTTTAAGGGAGTGGCCGTCTGTGATAAGAAGGTTCTTCATAACGTCCTCGTGGAGTTGTATGAGAAGGATACCAGTAAGTTTTCTCCATCCTTCTCTCTCTCTCACCCTCTGTCTCCCTCGCTTTCTTACTCTCTCTCTCTCTCGCTCTCTCTCTCTCTCCAACTTCCCATATTTTTAGTGAACCCCGACGATCTCCTGGCCCACATCCACACCAACGCCAACGGGGAATTCCAGCTGTATGGTGAGCACGACGAGGTATTCTGAACGGCACTTTAAAGGAGCTTTGAAGCCAAAATCTACCATATTTATTGGGTCGCTCCGACAAGGTTCGGAAATCTGTATTTAAGCTTACACCTATCCTTATTCCCTTGATTTTTTCAGGCCGGCTACATCAGGCCGTACCTCCGTGTCCGGCACAACTGCCACGCCAAGCCGGTAAGTTCAAAAATGTATTTCCTTCTAAGCTACAAAATTTTTAGCTTTAAAATACGCTAAGTTCTGCTACATGTGTAGCGTACTACGGCATTTTTGAGAGTTGCCAATCTTGGATTTCCGAGCCTTAATTTCACTTTCACAGAACTGCGCCCGCATCGCCGAGTACCAGATCCCGCAGTCCGCCCTTGGAGGTAAGCAATAAAGTATTTAATTTGAGTTTAGGCCGTCGGGCTATAAAATACCGGAAATTTAGTCTTTACAGTAAAGTGTAAAAAACGGCGTATTTTCAGACGTCTACGACATGACTTTCTTGACGCTGGACATCAAGGTGGCCGGCGAGACGGAAGTCTGCTAGAAATCTTAATTTTTTTTCTTTAATTTCCCCGATTGTGATGTACCGATTTTTGCATAATAAAATAATCGATTAAACTTGATGGCAACTAGACAAAAAATGCGAGAATTTGGAACGATCACACATAGATTTTTGACACAAAAAGTGCTTCTAACCCCGACATTCTTTGCTCATTCCTACCGTTCTCTCTCTCTCTCTCTCTCTCTCTCTCGTCTCTCTCGCTCTCTGTCTTTCACTCTCTCCCTCTCCCTTTCTCTCCCTCTCTCTCTCTCCCCCTCTCTCTCTCTCTCTCTCTCTCTCTCTCTTTCTCCCTTGCTAACGTTTTCGAGTGTGATCGTCCTCCTATCCTCGTCGACCCTTTGAACAACAGCCAATTATTCTCCCGCCTATCGAAAACTCGACCGTTGAATAACATCGACAGCTGACGATAGGGCACCACAATTTGCGGAGTACACTAGAATTTTGCGGGCCAAATATTTTGATGTGAGGCTGGAATGTGAATATAAAAGCGTTTGCAAGATGCAGGATCAAATCTGCATTTTGAAGGTTTGAGCTACTGTAACTCCAGCGGCTTTCTAAAACACTTTCAAAAGAGCCTTCCGGGCTTCCATGTTTCCGTCTTCGATTTTTTAGGATTTTCACGCTCGCAGACGAAATTTCTTTAGAATTAATAAAATTTAGTTAGACTAAATGATCAGTTTAGGTTTTTGGTAATTAGATAAACGATTTCAATAGGATCCTTTGTTCAGAATAGTCCTCCAGACCATGATTCGTCATGCTTGTTTTGCATCTGAGTGCTCGACTCATTCGTCGGTTGGTTAAAAAGGGATTTAGCCGGTCTGCCGGCGAGTACAAACTTTTGGCCGTATACTGGCAGGATAAAAGCGCCCATTTGGCAACGGTTCTCACTCTACAGACTGGTTTAAAATTTGGCCAGAAGGGCAGTTTTGCACTTAGAAGCTACTTTTCTGGCGTGTTTGTTTAGCTTTTCCGTTATTGGTTCTTTAGGATTCGCGGGAGGGGAGGAACCAATTTTTTTTCGGCACAAGCCTAGATTTTTTTATACATTGAAGATGTGTTTCTAAATTGTTTTTAGCTATTCCTGAGCATGGCATTTTAACCAAAAAATCAAAAAAATCATAATTAGGTCGAACAATCCTGTAGCACCTTTAGGATTCGTGGGGGGAAAGACCCAAAATGACCAAATTTTCGACCTTTTCGAACATTTTTCTAAATTTTTCTGAAAGTTATGCTGCTTTAAATATTTTGAAATTACTAAAAACAATTCGAAAACACTTTATATTTGATTACTAGGTCAACCGGGACAACCAGGAAAAAAAATTGGTTTCCCCCCGGCAATCCTAAAGAACCCCGTTTTTTTACTAAATCCATTCCAAAACATACAGTCGCGGTAAGATTTTGATTGGCAATACCAATATGCTTAGATCCCGAGACCTAGTCTACTGGGAAGTCGCTTTTCACGGTTACTATCTCCTTGAAACCGGCTAGATATACTAAAATTTGACGTTGCTTTTTAAATTAGTACCTTCCAGGAAGAGCACCATCGGGGGGTTTTTTTATTCTGTCGTAGATCAGACCGTCGAAATCGTTTCTCGAAAGGCATCTGGCTAAAAAAACACTGAAATTTCTATTTCTTACATCTTTAGGAGGAATAAATTTCGGCAAAATCAAGATTTCGTGATTCAAGATTTCCCAAATAAAATATAGAAAAATGTGGGCAAGCAGAAATTTCGACTAACTGGTGGCAAATCAGTACAATCGAGCATTTTCGCTAATTTCATATGCCTTCAGCTAGTCCTTAATGACCTCCGCACCCTTTATTTTGCCATCGCATCCTCATTCTATGGATCTTAGTCCAGTTAAAGGGCTAGTTCAACTTTTAGAGCTTGAGCTGGTACCTTGGGAAACTATGGACGCAGGGATAGCGCGCATGGACAGTCCCCCGTACGACAGCTATTAGATAGCGGGGGAAATGAGAGAGGCGCAGAGACAAAAACGCAGAGAGGGTTCCACTCCTGGCCACGGAAATTCTTTTGTTTTATTGGCTGAAATAGCCCTTTAAGGGTCCGCGTTTTTCCTCTAGTCCTCGACGGAGCCTTTGCCCTGACCTCATCGCCTATTTTTCCACTCTCAGCTTCCGAATTTCATCCATCATCCGCTTCTCACGCCCCTAACAACTGCCACCTCACCACCGGGATTTGTAAACTTTGGTCGATGAGTCAACCCGACGGATAAACGAAAAGTGCCCAAAGACAGTTGGGTTGTTTATATTTTCGAGAAATCGCCCTGGGGGTCTAGGGGGAGGAGTTTGTTCGGTGTTTTCGAGGCTTTTCGGTGTTTGTCTGGAGAGAGAGCAAGAGAGAGCGATAGAGAGAGAGACAGAGAGAGAGCGGTAATTTATGGGATTGGCCCATTCAAAAGGCCACTGGGCCCCCAGATCCACGGCCATTTATCGGGGCGGCTGTAATCAGGGTCCTGGTGGCTTGACGACAGGGTGGGGAGGCTCATTCTCACACCTTGGAGCTCGAGCTTCTGTCTACCGTAAGCTGAGATTTCCTGTAATTTTAGGTTTTTTTTTATTTCCGTAGCCGAGAAGCGCCTAAAAACGAAACTGAATAATCAATAGAGTTAGCAATTTTTAACGGGAGTGACAAAGCTCTTAAAATTTTTAATATTTGATGCAGTTTTTTATTTCTAATTTATGTTGAACCGTATATATTTGAATTTTTGGGGTTTTGGTCTATTTTTGATGATTTATTAAACGTTCTAAAATATAGCAAATCTTAAAAACATCAGGTCTCTTTCAAAATCCAAATTTGTTTATACGAGCTTCAAAGTTTTCAGATACCGACAGTAATTACAGTAATATGCCTTTTTTTGATTTTTTACATTTGTATCTGTCTCTATTTCGCACCCTCTCTCAGTCTCTCTCTCTCTCTTCCTCTCCTCTCTCTCTCCCTCTCTCTCTGCCTCTCTCTCCTTCTCTCCCGCTCTCCTCTCAATTTTTGATCACAATTTTAATAGCTCCTCCTCGTGACTTCCGACTCGCCACTCCCCATCCATTTGCCAGACATAACAATTTCTGCCGATCCACCGATTTCTAAACAATTTATGAAGGCGGCCCCGAATTCTTTGTCGGATCCTGAGTGCTCCACAGGCTTCACTCTCCGATTTTTGCCCTCCACTTCCCCGTTTCCATCAACTGTTTATCGTACAGTCTCGCAGCCATTTTCCGGCCCCAAAACAAGTCCGTATTTATAGCCGAAAAATGATGAAGCTGCTGTTGACGCTGTGCCTCGTCGCCGCTGCGCTCCTGGAAGTGTCGGCCCGCATGCAAAATGTTACGGTTACGGTAGGTATTTAGGGTGCCCTTTCTTGCTACAGTACTTTTGATAGACAGTTAAGCAACTGCGAAAACCATTTACAGTAACCTGGAGCCCAGATTGTTCATGTTTTTAGGGAATCGCCGTCTGTCAAAAGAAACGTCTCTCCAACGTGAAGATTGAGCTGTGGGACCGTGATACCCGTAAGTAGAGAGAGAGGGAGCGAGAGAGAGAAAGAGAAAGGCGAGAGAGAGGGGAGCGAGAAAAACATCAATGAGTAGAAAATGGTGATTCTATTGTAGTTGACCCGAACGACCTCCTCTCGACCGTGTTCACCAACGGCGACGGCGAGTTCACGATCACTGGTGGAGAGGACGAGGTCGGAAAGATTGAGCCCTTCATCCGCGTCACCCACAACTGCAAGACCAAGCCTGTAAGTTTTCTGAGATGCGAGAGAAAGAGAGACGGAAAGAGAGGTAGAGGGTGACAGAAAGTGAGATAGAGAGATGGGGAGAGAGAGAGAGAAGAGAGAGAGAGAGAGAGAGGAGAGAGAGAGAGAGAGAGAGTGAGCGGGAAGCTTGAAGCTCATTAAGCGAATGGCTCCAGAAGTATACGGGAAACCTAGCAACGCGCTTTTTTCGCCTAGCCGCTACCTTGGATTTTTGGGAAAACAATATCTTAAATCGTTTTTCGTGCAGCTAAAACTAAATTTTATGTAGATACCAGTCTAAAATATTAAATTTTACTAGTCTGCAAATTTTATTAAAGTCAAATTAAAGGTATAGTGAGAGAGTGAGGGAGAGAGCGAGAGATAGAGAGAGAGCGAGAAAGAGAGAGAGAGAGAGAGAGAGAGAGAGAGAGAGACATAGTGAGATAGGGAAAGAGCTCGAAAAATGCCAGACCTGCACGTTACCCTGCATTTCAGTACTGCCAACGTATCGGTGACTTCGAGGTTCCCCAAGAGAAGATCGACGGCACCTACGACATGACGTACCTCACTCTCGATATTGCGGTATTCAAATCCAAAATCCACTTAATAATTTGGATACGTTTAGGTGTCCGGCGAGAAGGAGAAGTGCATGTAAATCCGGAATTTTTTCGGGATTCGCCTGAATTCCGAGACTTTCCTCCTTCCCCCTCCACCCCCGCCTGTACCATATTGCTGTACCTTTGGTGCTTCAGAATTCTATACAATATGTGCCATTTCATTGTTTTCCATGCATTCTCTTTGACAGATTTCTATTGAAAAAACCCGTTGAAAACGAATAAAATTGCAGATAGAAAGATGCGTGCCCTTCTGCCGATCTTCGTGCTGGCTGCCGCCCTGTGCCTGATTGAGGCCAAGATGCAGAGCGTCTCCGTTAAGGTACCCAATTTTTATATCAAAATAAAATTAAACATTAACTAACCTTCGATTACATACCACTTTTTTTAATACAGTTTTTCGACTTTAAGGTCTGAGTAAGAATTTGTAAATTTTTGATGATATTATAGCTTTTAAAATGCCTCGGTTTTTTAAAGGCATTAGTTATCTTCTTAAAAACTCGTAGATTAAATAAAATTAAATCTGAAATGTACTATACCATCCAAAAATTAACTTATCGTATTTTCGACTTTTCCAAAAAGGCATTTTTAATTTTTTAAATCCTGCTCAGTTTTTAAATGGTGTTCGTCAATCATTAGAATATTTAAATTAACGTAAACCAGGGTTGAAAAGCCGCTACGCGGCTTTTCACCCCTGGCCTTCGCGCACGAAACTCGCAAAGTCGGGCACTTTGCATAATTCGAGCGAAGAGCGAGAGTGAACCCAAAAACGGTAAAAGCAACCGGCCGCTAGCGCGACAAAATTCGAAATGAGCCTCCTAGCGCCTCGTATGCAAATGAGGATATTTCCATATGTTTTAAAATAACGAAAATAACGTATAAATCGTCATTTTATTAAAAATCTAATAAGCTTGCAGTAATCTACGCCCTCGACTACCCCTAAATAGTTTTCGACTGGGTCCTAAAATTAATCCCCCTTCCCGATATCTTGGTAACCCGGTTTTTTCGAGCCATTTATGCAAAGTGTCCATACACACACACATGAACTATTTTTTTACCAGCCGATTACAGCCGCTTCGCGACTGTAATCGACTGGCCTTCGGGCTACCCTCCATGTTATACACCACCACATTACACCTCTACCTTCATCAATACCCAAGCTGGTCACTTCAGATACCTTCTATGGACAACCCCTGCTAAAACTTAGCTACTTTACTTGGCTTTAGATACTTCCGCTAGCCGAAATCCCCTCAAAAAAACTACATCGATACCTTCCTGATGGCTTCAGATACCCCCCATGGCTGAAATCCCCTTCAAAAACTACCTAAATACCTTCCTGATGGCTTCAGATACCCCCCATGGCTGAAATCCCCTTCAAAAACTACCTAAATACCTTCCTGATGGCTTCAGATACCCCCCATGGCTGAAATCCCTTCAAAAACTACCTAAATACCTTCCTGATGGCTTCAGATACCCCCCATGGCTGAAATCCCCTTCAAAAACTACCTAAATACCTTCCTGATGGCTTCAGATACCCCCATGGCTGAAATCCCCTTCAAAAACTACCTAAATACCTTCCTGATGGCTTCAGATACCCCCATGGCTGAAATCCCCTTCAAAAACTACCTAATCACCTTCCTGATGGCTTCAGATACCCCCCATGGCTGAAATCCCCTTCAAAAACTACCTAAATACCTTCCCGATGGTTTAAGACACCTCCCCTAGCCGAAATCCCCTTAAAAAACAAAAATAACGACCGCCCGGATGGAATGAGAGAAAAAAAGAAATGAAATCCCCCGTGAAAATTTTCATCCACGAAACGCGCGCGACCTGGCTCACTATGTCCAAAATCACCCCAACCTCCGTCCCCCACCCCTTTTACTAAGGAAAAAACTTTCAAAGTTAATTTTAATAATTTAAACTAAAAGTTTTTCGAATTTTTTTTATCAGTTTGGGGGTTTCAGACGGCGCTCTATCCGAATCCGAAGAGAGCTAAGCTCTAGCTCCTTTCCCCTTCGAGTTGAATTCGGCTTCACACACACAGACACACGGACGGACAGACGTCTCAACTTTTTTATTATAGTTGATATATAGTAGGATTAATTCAATAAACCATATCTAATTTAAATTAAACAAAAAACTTTCGATTTTATTCTTCCAGGGTGTCACCATCTGCAACAAGAAGCGCCTGGCCAACGTCAAGGTCGAGCTGTTCGACCGTGACACCCGTAAGCTTTGAATTGTTGAGAAGCAGAACGATAGAGAGGAAAATAGAGAGAGAGATAGCGAGAGAGAGCGAGAGTGAGAGAGAGATATGGATATGCATTAACATCTTTTAGTTGACCCGAACGACCTCCTGTCCACCGTCACCACCAACAGCGAGGGCGAGTTCGAGATCACCGGAGGAGAGGACGAGGTCGGCAAGATCGAGCCCTTCATCAGGATCACCCACAACTGCAACACCAAGGAGGTATGGAGTCTTGACTTCCTAGTTCCTTTAAAACAAGAGAATTCTGGATCGGGTTTTTGCCTTCACAAGTCATTTAAAGGGGCCGGCAAAGCAGATATGGATTTTGCAGATATGCATAGAATTCAGAGAGAAAGAGAGAAAAGATAGAGGGAGAGAGAAGAGAGAGGGAGAGAGAGCGAGATTAAGCTTTGCTAAATTCGATGGTTAAGACTATGCAAAGTGATCTTAGGAAGTTTTCTAGGCAATCCATAAGGATTTTTGTCTTCATGGTTCCTTTAAAAGCTGCTCAAGATAAAAAGTAGAATGAAATTAAATTAAAAAGGTATTAATTATCTGAAAAAGCCGTATTTAAATCATAATTTTAGGGATGCGCCCGCATCGGCGAGTACGAGGTCCCCCAGACGCACATTGACGCCGCCCCCTACGACATGACCTACGTGAACCTCGACATCTACGTAAGTTTTGCAAGATTTTTTTAGGCTTTGTAGTATCCGCTTATTAGGTATCCGTTAATGAGCTACAGTACAGCATGATAAACGCAAATGAATATTTTTTTTTTCAGGTCAAGGGCGAGAAGGAGAAGTGCTAAACACAACAGCCCCCTTCACCTGCAACACCTAGTCCTGCCAATCAGCCTTATCACTTTTGCAATTTTCTAATAATATTATGGCTATTGCGTAATAAAATGTTTTGAAGAAGATGGACGGTTATGCCTTACAGCTTTCGAATGCCGAAAGAAACCAAAAGGCACCGGTTAAGTGGTTTTGGCTCACCAATTGAGTACCGAAGCCTTCCACAAGCTGTAAATCTAGCTTCAAGTTCGATAACAGAGCACTTACTTTTAAATAGTATGTCGTAATCGATTCAAGGGGAAACATCTACTGGAATTATATACTGGAGATTTCCTTTTGATGGCTTAATAAGCGTTGCGGAAGTTTATGCGCAGACTGGTAGTTTTATTTCAAAGTAAGCCACCTGGCAGGTAACTTGCTTTTTTTCTAGAGTGATTTTACCATCGGTTTATTTGCTATGCTAAACAGTTGGGTGAATACGTAAACCGAAATAATGACAAATCCCAAAAAGGCAAAAGGCCAAAGTCGAGTGGTCGCCGACGGGAGGTTTGAACGGATAACCCGCCGACTCCGGACCATTGACCAAGAGAGGAAGGCTGGCTTGGGGGTTATATAGGATCCCTTTTTGCAGTGGGCTAGTTGTAGCGCGTTTCGGGTGCATGACGTGGCAAGCGGCTGTAGCTGGAAAATCGAGGTTTCTTCATCCGAATTTGGTGGGAAAAATATGCACGCATCTAATAAAAACTAAACTATTTTACTTTCTTAAAGACTCCAAGTTTTTTCTTGTTAGACTTCAAACCTATAAGGCTCCAAAACCCCAGTTCCCCCGGTTTTTTTCAGTAAATACGCCTGGCAGTTGAGCAATTCTTGGCCAGGATTCCGCTACAATACTAGAGCGCACTGATCACAAAACGACACAAATTACAAAATGTTTTTCCTACCATTACCTTTTATCTTTTTCTTGTTTCCCTGCTCCCTCTCCGTATCTCTGGGTCAATATAGCGGGTGCACAGTCCAGCGATCTGCCCGCTAATCATTTCGTGTTCCGTTTGACCTTGCGCGGTATCTGCCCGTCAAAAGCCATATTTTCTATTTTCCATGTTTTTATTAATATTCACAACCGTAATTCTTGGGTTTTTGTTTTATGAACTTTATTGGAAGCGGAGGAATTTGCCACCAGGTCAGTTTTCGAACATTTAGTAGATTAAAAAATTTCTGGCTCGGTGAAACCATAAAGTAATAAACGCTATTAGCTATATTAGTTTCAATCCAATGCTATTTAAAACCAATTCTATGCTAGCTTTTTAGGTCCAATTCCACTACCATTCATCGGCAACTTGCTGGAAGTTATGCGAAATGAACCCGGCTATGAAGCTTACAGGAAATGGACAAAACAATACGGACCTGTACACACTTACTGGCTAGGTATGGAAAAGATACATAACCTAAGATGTACCTTATCGTATGTAGCAAGCTATCTTTATTCATAAACGAGCCCGCCTTTTTCTTAGTTTTTTTGAAAGGCTTTCAATCTTAGATAACGGCCTCCTCGACTCTTGAAAAATCCATGTCTAGAGGTCATCACAGAGGTTATCTATACCTTTCAGGCTCCCGTCCAATGGTTGCCGTGTCCGACTACGCTACGATTCAAGCAACGTTTATTCAGGATGCCGACAAATATGCTGGTCGCTTCAATAATTTGGAAATGACGAAAATGTATCGAGGTTTGTCATTTCCTTTATAGTTTTCATGAATTTGCGGCGAATTCCGCCAACCGTTTGCATAAAAACGATGGAAATGTCAAAATCATAACATTTAGGAGGAAATTACGGTGTCGTCGAGACAGCCGGGGATTTGTGGAGGGACCAGAGGCGGTGAGAAAAGTCTCGAAAATTATTAAATTTGATTTTTAGCTTTACCCTGCATACTCTTCGAGATTTCGGAATGGGCAAAAATATCATGGAAAAGCGGGTTAGGAATTTAACCCAAACATCAG